CCCTCCAACCCCCAGCCACACACACAGGCCTCTGGTTCTGGGAGGGGACCTGAAATATTCTGCTTGGATTCAGCCACTGCTGCCTTCCCAGGGCAGAGACAAGGAATAAACCCCTCGAATTTTAATTCCCAAAGGGAGAAGGGCAGGGATTCTCTGCCTCTCCTGCTCCTGAAGTCTCTCCCACGCTGCCTGGGGAGAGGATGGGACACGAGGGGCGGCCGCTTTCCTGGGATTACTGGGCTGGGCTTTGGGCCACGCTGCCAAAATCCCTTAGTTATGAGATTTAAGACATGATATTTGAAATTTCTCGCTGTTTTGTCTGTGGCTTTTTCTGGGAATCTCAGAGACTCCGAGCGGGAGACGGGGCCTTAAAAAATCTAACTCAAATAAACCCAAGTCTAGCGCAGAGGGGGTTTCCCACACCCCCCTTCTCTTTATTTCCTGGAGAACACACACACATTCCCAGCCCTATTTGGGAATGCTGCGTGGGGAACAGCACTGCTTTGGCGTTTTGGGATGTTGGCACCCCATATTTTCGGGGACGGGGAGCTCCGAGTGAGCCCTGCAGAGCCCAAATCCCACCGGAGCAGGCGGCTCTCCCGGCTCTCCTCTCTTTATCCAAACAGAGATTCCTGGCTCCCAGCACCCTCCCCGTTGCTCTCCCAGCTGCACGGGGCTCTCTCGGAGCTGCTGGAAAACTTTCAGCAGCCGCCGAGAACCCGGCAAAAGCTCAGAAGTTAAAAAAAAATAACAACAACAAAACCAAAAAAAAATGTGCTTTGGGTGGAGACACCTCGGCCCTGAGTTCCCGGTGGGGTTGGGGAAGGAATTAGGGATGGGGAAGAAGCTGCGGGAGAGGCTGAAGTGAAACTGGTGTCCCCCCCCGCCCTCTCTCTCCTCCGACGGGAACCTCCGGGGAGAAAAATGTATTTCCTCAACGACCGAAAAAGCCACGTTTCAGCCCAAAAAACACGGAGCAGCTGCACGAGCCCCGGAGCTCCTTCCCGGTGCCTCCGCCCGGAGCCGGGACGGGATCGGGACAGGACGGGACGGGAATAGGATGGGGACGGGAATAGGATGGGGACGGGATGGGGGGGTCTGAGCCGTTTTGAGGGGGTGAAAGCCGAACCCCTCCCTCTCCCTGGGGGTCGCCTGATCCCATCCCAACAGGACTATATAGAGTCATAGCGGCGGGCGCCGGGCTGGGGTGGGAGAAGGGGGATTTGGGGGGGGGCGGTGGGATCGCAGGGATCCCACTCTCCCCATCATCCTTCCCCCCCATCCATCCCGCGGACCCTCCAACTCTCCAGAAACCCCCTCAATACCCTTCCTAGGACCCCCTTACCTGCCGTCCCCGGCGGGGGGACCCCCAGCAGGACCCCCAGGAGGACGAGGCGGTGCCCCCAGCCCGGGGGGGGCCCCGGGCCGGCCATGCCGCCGCCGCCGCCGCCGCCGGGGCTGTCACCGTGTCACCGCCTCCGCTCCGAACCTCCCCTTCTTATGCCGGCGGGTCCCTCCCTCCGCCCGCCGCCCCCCGAGCGCTGCCCGGCCCGGGCGGGGGGGCGGCGGGGAGGGGAGGGGAAGGGGAGGGGGAGGCTTTGTCCGCCCCTAATTTATGGCTGCGGGGTTTGGCCGCTTAATGAGAACCAGAGCCGGCGGTTCGGAGGCTCCGAGGCTCCCCCCGCGGCTTCCACCCATCCGTCCATCCATCGGTCCATCCGTCCCTCCATCCCCACCCGGGGGGGGGGGGGGGCCCCGCTGCTGCTTCGCCCCCTTTCCTGCCCTGGGAAAGGCGGGAGGGAAGGGGGGGGGTCCCCACGGGTTGCCTGCGGGAGGAAGGGAGGGGTAAAAAAAGCGATAAAAGCAAATTATTAAATACAAGTAATGGAAAAATAAATAAACAAAAAAGGAAATGAAATAAAAGGAAATAAAAGGAAATGAAAGGAAACGAAAGGAAATGAAATAAGATAAAATAAAATAAATAAGATACAGTAAAATAAAATAAAATAAAACAAAATAAAATAAAGATAAAATAAAATATAAAATAAAACAAAATTAAATTAAATTATTAAATAATCCCATCCATTCCACCACAGACCCTCAATCCACTCCACAGTTGTTGTTATTATTAATATTACTTTTATTGATTATTAACATTAATATTTGTACTATTAATTAATAGTAGTGATTATATTAATAATATAATCACAGAACGGTTTGGATTGGAAGGGACCTTAAAGCCCATCCAGTTCCACCTCCTGCCATGGGCAGGGACACCTTCCACTAGCCCAGGTTGCTCCAACCTGGCCTTGGACACTTCCAGGGATGGATTTTATCAGTATCATCCAACCAATCCCATCAAACCAGTGGTGGGACAGCGAGTGTGGGGATGAGGGAATGTTCACTTCCCTTCCTTGCACACACACACACATTCCCAGCCCCTCTGGATCATTCCCTAGGGTCACCCAACCCTCCCTCCCCCCATCAGGGCAAGGATTCATCAATAGTTATCAAAGTCCTATCAGTAATATTGATTAACAGCAGTGATTAAAGCTTTGCAAACGATTTCACTCTGAAAACGGGGACAGTTCCAGGCACTCTCACCCCGAGTGCTCCAGGCACCTCTGGCCCAAGGTGACATTTGGGGGCAGGAAGGCACAGGGGACTTTTGAGAGAGAAGGAATTCATCCCTGTGAGGGTGGTGGGGCCCTGTGCCAGGTTGGGTAGAGAAGCTGTGGCTGCCCCTGGATCCCTGGAAGTGTCCAAGGCCAGGTTGGAGCAACCTGGGACAGTGGAAGGTGTCCCTGCCCATGGCACAGGGTGGGACTGGATGATCCTTAAGGTCCCTCCCAACCCAAACCATCCTGTGATTCCACGATCTCCTGCCCTTCCTGCACAGCAACAGCTCTCCCTGAAGCTCAAAGTTCCCCACGGAGGGGCTGGGAAAGTCCCACCACCTCCAGGAAAGGAAAAAGGCAGCAAAAACCAGTCAATCCAAAGAATAAACCCCTGGAAGTGCGGGGAGCACCCGAGGGCACCGCAGACTCAGCAGCTCGCAGGGGGTTCAGCAGAGCAGCCCTAAATCCCCAGCCTGGCACAGAACCGGGAAAGATTCCAAGGCAGGAAAGGGCTCTCGGCCATCAGGAAACCATCAAGGTCCAGAGGGACGAGGCAGGGAGCTGGGGAGGCCTTTCCAGGAGGGATGAGCCAGGGGTGGGATGGAGCAGGAAGAAGGAAACCCAGGGCAGCCAACAGGCTCTGGCGTGGCCTCACCGTTGCTCCATGACACGGGACATTTTTCCTCATTCCTCCACTTCCTCAACCAGGCAGAAATTTCTCTGCTTCCCACCAGCACAGGGAATGTGAGCAGAGCTTGGGATGTGAAGCCCATGGGCCCTACACGGGGCTGGGGCAGCAGCTGGGGGCGATCCAGGCCCTATAAAAGCCTTTTTGTGCGGAGGAACAGGCGTCGTTCCCGTGCCTCCAGCCTGGATCACTTGATATCCCTGCTGACAAAAGCCAACAGAAGCTGTGGCACCCGACCAGGACCTGCAGCTGGGTCACAGCCTGGCAGCTGAGCCCAAATTCGGGGATTCCTGCAGCCTGGAGCGAGCCAAGAGCAGCACGTGGGAAGCAGGGGTGGGAATCACTCACAACCAGGGAATTACAGACAAGGAGAGGCTCTTGGTATCCGTTTTCAGGGTGCTCCCAGGAATTCCTCCATAGTCATGACAGAGGCAGCCAGGACAGGGACACAGAGCATGGGAGGGGTGATCCTGGGCACCCACATTTTGGGGCTTCACTGATCCATAAGCTCAGACACCATCACTCTTCACCTGTCACGGGACCTTTGCAAAGGGCGTGCTCGGTTGTGACACAGAATCCCAGAATCCTGGAATCACTGAGGTTGGAAAAGCCCTCCAAGGTCATGGAGTCCACCCTGTGCCCAATGCCCACCTTGTCCCCCAGCCCAGAGCACTGAGTGCAACAGCCAGGCCTTCCTGGGACACCTCCAGGGGTGGGGACACCAAACCTCCCTGGGCAGTACCACCCTTTCCATGAATAAATTCCTCCTGATGTCCAACCTGAGCCTCCCCCGGCACAGCTTGAGGCCGTTCCCTCTCCTCCTGTCCCTTGGTTTTCGGGAGCAGAGCCCGACCCCCCCCAGCTCCCCCCTCCTGTCAGGGAGTTGCAGAGCCAGAAGGTCCCCCCTGAGCCTCCTTTTCTCCAGGCTGAGCCCCCCCAGCTCCCTCAGCCCCTCCTGCTGCTCCAGAACCTTCTCCAGCTTCGTTCCCTTCCCTGCACACGCTGCCCTTCTCTAGTAAAACACCTTTCTGCTGCTCATAAAAACTTTTGCCCTGATAGACCCCCCCAAAAAAGTCCCTTCAGACCAAATTTCACACAATCTTTTAAAACGACAGTTCCATCCACAGGTGATGTCACAGGAACTTGAGCGGGTGCTGAGGAGCCCACGGCTGGAGTGTCATCTCCTCCAGATCCAACTGGGAACTCTCAGGGGGGCTCATCCCTGTCCAGAGGAAGGTCAGGCCTGGCTCTTCAGCAGATGACTCATCGAGGCTTAGCTGGGACCAGCAGCCAGACAGGGGGATTCATGGAATGCACCGAATCCATCTCAGGTAGGGAAACCACAACTTCTGGAGTCTCTTCTACATCACGAAGACAAGTTTGAAGCAGCTTCTGATGAAGCAACAGGGCTGCAGCACACGGGCACACGGATAAAATTGGGCTGGATTAGAAAAAAAAATCCCGTTTTTCCTAGGGAGACCTCTCCCAAGTGTCCTCATCCCCGTGGAATTTGAGCGCCTTCCAGGAGCGCATTAATCACCGCGGCTTCCATTTGTCACGCCGGGGTCCTTCACCCGCCCTCAGGGGCTCCTTTGACCCGGGGAATTCGGTTTATCTGCTGATGCAGGGAGAGAAATATTAATAAAAGCTTGACTTTCAAACCCTGCTCGTGTGAAAGAGTCGAGCCTTTCCCATTTCCAGAGGCTGGGAAGAATTCCCACCCCGAGCCGATTGACGGTCGTCTGATGACTTCACGGTCGCCCGGCTCGTAAGTGCAGCAGGAAGGAAACAATATATTAAGATCTGCTTTACTGGATTAAAAGTTTGATCTGGGCTAATGAACAGCCAGCCAGGAAGTCATGTCTTCATCAGGGAATGGTTTCAGGAAAAGGGAATTATAAACCAGGATGCGCTTGCGGAAAAAATTCGATGGAGTTATGGGAGGTCTGATCAAAGGTCTACAAAGTCTATAATTCATCTAATTTTAGATGAGCATGGAAAGGGGTTGGAATTAGATGGTCTTTAAGGCCCCTTCCAGCCCAAATCTTCTGGAATTCTAGAAGAGGAAGTGATTTCCTCACCTGCTGTTCCACAGGGAAAATCCTTCCCTGTCTCCTCCTCTTCCAAGTCGTCCTGTTGTGTTCTCCTACAACTCCTACAAATTTACCATCAGAATTCCTTTTGGGAAGAGTCCTCCAGCAGCCACCACACTGGACCAGGCCACATCCAGGCAGATGTCTGGTAACATGACTAAATTGTGAGAGGAATTTCCTTTTCTAGGGAAATCGGGCACTCCAGCTCTATTTTTACATCCCTGTTCCAACAGATTTCCAAGGAATTCTTTCTAGTTACCAGCAATGAGAGAACGTGTCCCAGACATCCACTCAAGCCCCAGCAGTGCCTGATGTGAGAAGGGTTCTCCATGGAAAGGATTCCAAAAAATTCCAAACCAACTGGAGATTGGTTCTCCATAGGAAGGATTCCAAAAATATCCAAACCCATTGGAGATTGGTTGTCCACAGGAAGGATTCCAAAAATATTCAAACTAACTGGAGAGTCATTCTCCATAGAAAGGATTCCAAAAAATTCCAAACCAACTGGAGAGTGGTTCTCCATGGAAAGGATTCCAAAAAATTCCAAACCAACTGGAGATTGGTTCTCCATAGGAAGGACTCCAAAAATATCCAAACCAACTGGAGATTGGTTCTCCATAGGAAGGATTCCAAAAATATCCAAACCCATTGGAGAGTGGTCTCCATGGAAAGGATTCCAAAAATATCCAAACCAACTGGAGAGTGGTTCTCCATGGAAAGGATTCCAAAAACATCCACACAAATTTGAGTGGTTCTCCATAGGAGGGACTCCAAAAAACACCCACCAAAAACCAGAGGACTGACCATGTTACTCTAAAAGGATCAGGAGTGAGTCCTTCAGGATGGAATTCACAGCACAACAAGGAGAACTCGTGGAAATGGTCATGGAAGAGGAAATGGAAGATGTTCCAGAAGGGCAAAAAAAGCCTCTTATTTTAAAATAAAGTTTCAAAGCATAAGGTGGATTTTTTATACGTCTTTTCCAGTTCCTTGTTTGTCCACCTCATCCATGACATTTCCCACCTCCAGTTCAG